AAAAGGGGAAAGGGAAAAGGGAAGGGGAAAAGGGAAGGGGAAAAGGGAAGGGGAAAAGGGAAGGGGAAAAGGGAAAGGGAAAGGGGAAAGGGGAAAGGGGAAAGGGGAAAGGGGAAAGGGGAAAGGGGAAAGGGGAAAGGGGAAAGGGCAGGCTCCCTCCCCCTTACATTCGTGTGTTACTGGTCTTGTTGATGATGACAGCCTTCCCAGTCTGGTCCACGTTGTGATCCATCCCAAAATAGGCAGCGACCCGGTGCAGCAGCATCCTGTGGTACGAGGTCATCTGAGGGAACTTCTTGAACTGATTGCTGGGAAGAGGCAGGGAAAGGGTTACAGTTCCAAGCAGTGTCATATCAGGATGTACAAGAGAACAGGGGATGTTCCCTTCTCCCCCTGGAGCCCAAACTCCTCAGCTCCACGTCACAAACCCCTTTTTGCTGCTCCTTACGGTCACTTACTTGTTATCACTAATGAATTCCAGGATCTCCTGTTCCAATTTGAGCAGCATCATTCGATCCCTGGCGAGAAAAGAGGGAGGAAAAGGCCACTTCAGGGACAGTGGAACAGCTTTCCCTGCTCCCAACCCCTCTCCTGCAGCAGAGGAACACCCAGCCCAGGTGACAGCACCGACCTGGCTTCACCCACCCCACGGGAACAGGCCAAAACACTCCAAATTTTTCCAATATGCTAAATTAATCACCACAATTCTTCAGTTTAAGGTTGTTTTGCTAACAGTGCTTGGCTTTGGAAAGCCTGAATCCCTGCTCTGCTGGAAGCTCCTCTGGTGGTGACTCCAGCTTTGCTATTCCCATGCCAGCCTTTCCCTTGGTTCCATGGATTATTGCCACAGCAGCTCCTTTGCAGGTTGATACTTGACAGTCACTCACAGAATGGGGTTTAACACAATCAAGGCTCCTTCATTGCATCCAAACAAGCCATTTTTCTTTCTCTCTCTCTCCATCACACAAAATTCCATGTTTGGAATGAAACAGGATATAAATTACCATTATGCTTTTTAATTTCTACACTGCCCCAGGACTGGTAACGCTCTTGGAATTCCAAGAAGGAAAACACAAACACACTTGCAGGTGCTGTCTGGAGGTGCTGCAATCCCCCAGGATATGGGAACACCCCTGGACAGGGACATACACCCCCCCCAGATGTGGGAGTCATCCCCTCCATCACCCCCTCAGGGAGTTGTTTTCCTGCCCAGCACCCACCGTGGGTTTTTTTTCAGTGTATTTACTAAAAATTCATGCAAATCTATTCCGGTGGAGTCTGTGTATTCCTGGCTGGAATCTGAAACAACAACAACAACAGCAGCAGAACAAATTAACAAAGCACTGCAACAGCCCAGAGGGAAGGGAAGGGAGAAGGGATGGGAAAGGAGAAAGGGGGAAGAAGGAAGAGGAAGAAGGAAAAGGGAAGGGCTGTTCTGTGTGTCTTTACATGCACAGGGATGATGTTCCCACATTTCCCAACCTGTCCCAGCAGCACCTGCCCCATCCAAACCAACACCTCCCCAGTTCAAACCAGCACCTGACCTCGAGAGAGCATCTTCCTTGGGGTTTTTTCTTTATTCTTGTCTTTTTCTTCTTTCTCCACCCCATCTTTCGTGGATTTTTCCTCTTCCTTGTCAGAGGGGCAGCTCACGTGCAGCTGGATGATGTCCTGGAACAGAACAAAGCAGGCTGGAGGCCCTCAGACATTCCCTGAGCCTTGGCTGTGGCTGGAGGTGCTGGTGGCTGAGAGAAGCACCACGGGAAGGTCTCAGATCACAGACAATCCATAAGAAAACTCTCTGGGAGAGCAAACAGAGCTGCCTCTCCCCACCCTCCTCCCAGGGAGCCCTGGGCAGGCTCTGAGGTGCCTCCACACACACAGAAGCAGGGGGTCCCAGGCACGGCCACCTCCTTCCCAACCAGCTCCTGGGGGAATTTCCTGGCTCTCCGAGGACACAACGTCAATTCTAGCAAGATGTGGATTTTCTGGGCTTCCACACTCCCCAATTTGTCTCATTCTGGCCCTACCTGGGACTCCAGCAGCCCATCCACAAAGGGGCCCGAGGACTCTTCACACACAGCCAAGCTCCTGACCAGTTTGAGCTTTGAATTAGACTGGAGAAGGAAAAGAAAGAGGGTGGTTAAGACACCTCGGCCAACACACACCTGAGCTCCTGCAGTGGCATTCCCAGGCCATTCCCAATTAAACTGGTCAATAACAGAATATCCAGGGATATCCAGGGACACACAAGGGCTTGGAATCCCTGAACAATCAGTTGTTTCCTTCCCTCAGCCTTTGAACCACACTTTTAAGTGAGAGGTTCCCTGCCTTAACTCCTGCACTCTCTGATCTCCAGCCAGAGCAATTCCAGCCTTTCCCCCGTTTCCATGTTTTCCAGCACATGGAAACCCCTGTCCTGAACCATCAACTGCTTCATGTGGCTTCTGGAGACAGGAAAGGCTTGGGAGCAGCATCCTAGGGCTGGGATCAGGGCTGGGATCAGGGCTCAGCTCAGAAGAGCCCACAGAAGATCAGGATGTCAGGAGAGAAGATCAGGATGGCAGGAGAGGTCCTACCTTGGCTCTTTTCCTGGCGTGTCCGTGGCTCGACGTTCTCCTCTGTGGACAAAGCAAAGGGAAGGGCAGGAAGCTTAACCTGGAAGTTTTCTGCCATTCCCGGGACACAAAGGGGGTTCTGATCCCCTGGATCACGACACGGGGATGGAGCACGAGTGTGCCCAGGGAATATTTCAATTATTCCACTCTGGACAGGGCAGACCCAGCTAAAGAGGCAGGGAGCAGGCTGGGAAGGCTGCACAGTGTGGTGTCCCTGTGGAAAAGCCTCGTGTCCCTTTGGGAAGGGCCGGGAAGCAGCAGGGAAGGGCCCAATTCTCCTCGTCCACACTCACCTGAGACTCCTGGCGCACGTTGACCTCCTCCCCCCCATCCTTCTCCACCTCCTCCTTGCTTGGTGACCTGGAGACATATTTGGTTTTGTTCACAGACTCCTCAACCACCTTTTTTTCCGATTCCTTCATAATTTCCAGGGACTCCTGGGCCGTGTTGCTGTTGGACATCTTCGGAGCCCTCCGACGCGGCGACGGGCACCTGCAGGAGAGGGCACAGGGCAGGACAGGGAGGGAGTCAGGGGGTGGAGGGAGGCTCTCCCTGGACACAAACTCTTGCACATCCAGGTTGGAACTTCCTTGGAACCCACCTTGTGGGCAGACCCCAAACCAAGCACTCGTTTGAAGCCCCCCCCCCACTCAGCCCTGGGGTGCAGCCCCGGTTTGAGGGGACCTGGCAGGAGCTCCGTGGATCTCACCAGGATTTTGGAGACACCAGCAGGGCTGGACAAAGTCCCTGAGGCAGAGAGAGGTCCCAGGTAGGTGACTGGTGTAGAGAGAGACAGAGGGAAGCCCTAAACCAACAAACATCCTGCAGGGGAAATAAATTCCAGGAACCTGAGCCGTGCTCTGCCCCAGGGCAAACAACCAAAAACCCGAATTATTTCCCCAAATCCCAGCCCCCACAACACAAGGAGGCAGCTCAGCTTCCTTCACCCCACCACTTCCTGCCCGAGGCTTCCCATGAGCTGCCAGTCCAGAGCCAGGGATGGGACAACCAGGAAAGGGAAAAGTTTCTTAAGTCAAGGCTAAGCAGCACCTCAGCGTGGGGGAAATATCCCATGAAATTCATGGGAAAAGGGTGCAGGGAAAGCATCCATCCTGCAGCTGCAGGGGCCTGGCCTCATCCCAGCAGGCTGAGGTGTTCCCAGGGATGCTGTGAGGAGTCCCAGCCCAGGGAATCCCGCTGTGCTCAGCGTTCCAGCAGGAATTAGGTCAGGAAGGGAAAAGGGAGCCCTTGCCTGATGTGCCTCCTTTGTGGGAGCCTGGATTATGCAGGGGGTGAAGGTGGTGAACTCTGCCTCTCCCCACCCCAAAATATTCCACAGTGTAGGAAACTCTAGCTGGGCTGGGGGCCTAAACAATCCAGGAGGATCTGGAGCAGATGTGGGGAAGGGAAGGAGGAGGTGGCACCGGATCTGCACACACGACACTCAAATAGAGGAGCAGGTTTTGTACAGCTCATTCCCTTTGCACCACCCACCCTCCAACAAGCTTTTCCCCCCAAGCCAAACACCTCAGCCAAATTTCAGAGGGATAACGGGATCTTCTCCCCTCCTGCTGCAACGTAACTCCAGCACCACACCGGGAATATCATCAGATTTTTTCCCAGAAACGACAACTCAGAGCCACGGAACTGACATTTCTCAGCTGCCCCCTCCTGCTGCAGCTTCCAGGCAGCCTCCAGGATCTCTCCCTGCACACAAAACCCCGGGGGGATCTGTGCTCTGCTGCTTCCCAGAGGAGGATTCCTTGCGGGATGAATGAATCAGCCCCGCTCCCTCGGGCAGCCGTGGGCCGGGGCGAGGGGGTGGCAAACACGAGCAGCAGCGACAGACAGAGGCTTGCAGAGGGTGGGGAAGTTCAGAGGACTTGGGGAGAGAGGGAGTGGGATTGAGCCGGGCCTCGGGAGAGGGAGAAACCACACGGATGCGACGTCAGGGAAGCCAGAAAAAATCTGTGTCAGGGAAGAGAAGGAAGCAACGGTGGGAGAAGGTGGAAGGGAGGAGGTGGGTGAGGTGCTGGCGAGCCGAGGGCTGGCAAAGCAACTGGGCCAGTCATGGCATACTGGGAACGCTGGCCACGGGCCAGGGAGCCTGGCCACATTCATATCCTCCTCTTCACTCCAAAAGGGGAACATGGAATTCCACCTCTGCTGCCTTTTTGCCACCCGCGGTTGGCAGCCGCCGAGGCCTGGGAATGCAGCAGCAGCAGCAAGAGAAGTCCCACATTCCCAGCCTGGATGGATCCGACAGCAAAGCTGGGAAAGGCAGGAAGCTCCTGCTAAATAAACCCCATTCCTGGCCTTGTTTCTCAGGGAACAGACCCGCTCCTGAGCTAAATGAGGGTGCAAAGGAGACATATGGCTGCCGGGAGCAGCTGCCCACACACGGATCTGGAGGGGCAGGAGGGGGGGGCTGAGGTGGGGATGGAGGGTCTGAGGTGGGGATGGAGAGTCTGAGGGGGATGGAGGGGTCTGAGGTGGGGATGGAGGGGTCTGAG